TCATCGAGGTACTTAAACATCTCCTTCCGAATAATGTTTTCCAAGATTTTAACAACCACACTAGTCAGGCTAACGGGGCGGTAATTCTCAGGTTAATGTTTCGTACCAGTTTTGAAGACAGGACTTACTATGGCGTTCTTCCAGTCCTTTGGTAAACGACCCTGCATTTCGGATAAATCAAAGCATATACTTAAAGGTTTCGCAACGAAGTTAGATAATTCCTTCAGTAGCCTAGGATGCGATTCATCGGGCTCCATGGATTTACCTATTCCAGCTTATTTAGCAGACCAAAGACATCTAGTTGTTTAATGGTCACACTATCCAGTGTATGTGTGGGGGATTTGTATGCGCTGACGGGAAGAGTGCTTCTATGGTATATTCATTGTTAAAGTAGTTCGAGAACACTTGAGCATTACCAAAGTCGTCCTCCATTATAGGTGCGGCAGTACTGTCTCCCCATAGTGCAGGAACATTTCCTCTTCTTTTTCTCCTTTGGTTTATATAGGAATACAAGCGTTTAAGACATTCTATGGATTCCTTAAAATCTTTTTCTTCGTACAACTCTCTAGACTTACGGAGGGTCGAGACACCGGTATTCCGGACTTTCCTATACTGGGATTTAGTTTCATCAGTCCTCAGTAACCTAAATCTATCCCACATTTTTCTTCTCCTACGCAGGAGGATGAGGACCTCCCTACTGAACCATGGTGGAGAGTTTCTCGGCCCCCTTGGTATAGTCCAAGGGATGTGGCGTGCAGTCAATTTTAAGTATATATTTCGAAATGCGTGCCAAGCCGTTTCAATTGAGGACTCTGTGTCTATTGTTCAACCTACTGACGATGCTGAATGCATGATATCTAGTATGTTTGTTTACCAGACGTTAGGTTTGTATTGAGCTAACGCGTGCTCGCAACCGACAGGTATATGGAAGTTGAAAGTTAAAACTGCGTGATCACTTTTACCTAGGGGTGGCATGTAGTGAAGGTTCGCAACATCATCCTCATAGTGAGTCAGTAAAGATCTAGTAAGTACGATTCAGTGTCCGGGTTGCACCTAGTCGCTTCTTTCACATGTTGCACCAGGTCACATGTGATAACCGCATCAAACAGTTCCTGCTCGAAAGAATTTTCTGACGATTCATTTAGCAGACCAAGTACTGAGACTGCTTAGCAGGTCTTCATTTACCTCACAGCTTGGACTGCGATAGACTAAACCATTCAGCAGCTCTTATCCCTTGCATTTCAAGCGGCAACTAACCAATTACCACGTCCCACTCATGTGATACATTATCGGTAATGGCAAGTGCGATAGCATTCCTAATGAATTGAGATACTCCCCCTCCTTTACGCTTTTGTATTCTGTCAGCCCTTACTAACGTCAGACCCTCGGAATCAAGTTCCATACTATCTAGAGACTGTGTCAGCCAGGTTTCTGTGACTGCGATTATGTCTGGCTTTGTAGAGTCAATCTGTACACCTAGTTCCGATCACTTATTAATTAAGCTTCGGGCAATAGTGTAACAGATCCGAAGCCTATTGAAGTGGCTTCGTGCTTCACCCAGAGTGGCTTCGGCATCATTCTATGTTGAAGTCCTACAACTCAAAAACTCACAATTTTCATGTCTTTTTCGCCAGCGTCCAACCAAAGTTGTAGTTCTTTTTCGGCTATCCGTCTTTTTACACAGTCTGCCAACGGCAAGTCATTACGGATAAAAACCCCTAAACCCTTTAATTTATGTCCATTCCGTAAAACTAGGTCGCGTTCTTTCGAAGATTTGAATACTACATTAAGCAGTCTGGATTGATTTGGTTCCATGTTCGCTAGACTCCTTAGTCTGTACACCTTTAGCACGGTGACTCCGGTGATAATTTGAGGCATGAGTTGATTAGGCAGCTGTTTAATTGGCACAATGTCATGCTCAAAACGAACTTTTGGTTCAAAGCCTTCACTTTCCTTGAATATATGAAACATACCTAGTCTGTCACTGAGGTAGGGTTGCCTTTTATATCGCTACGTTGTTTCTTCCTTACAACCTGTACTAATTCGTCAACGTTGCTAGGAGAAGCAACCACAGATGCGTCTAACCTACTGTTGGATTCTGAAGGGTCGTCGACGGCCTGGGAGGTCAGGTTATGTTTCCCGCTAGAAACCGATCGAGCCTTGCGATTGTGGCTTCTAGGCATTTCCTGCTGGATGCCATTTAGAAGACGGGGACAGTAGAAACTTCTTTTCTTGAGATTTTGTTCAAGACAGACGTCTTTGGAGACTGATTTTCCTTCTTTGGTCGGTGTGAACCACCTATTTTCGAACTCACCTCAGTTTGCTTCATACCAATTTGCGTGTTGACAGAGCGAGTGCTGTTTAATGTGTCCCGGCTACGCTTACTAATACACTTTTTTCGTAGCATCTAGCAGTGAGATGACCTCGGTTAACAAGCTGTTTACATCCGAAAAGCACTGTCAAACGCAACCCTTTTTACTGAACCGTTTGAAAGACGCAGGCGTTAAATTCGTGCAGACGACGTGGTACCAGCCTTTGAACTCATCGCACTGCATGCCGCTTTCAACGGGATAACGACAACCCGGACGTTGGCAAGTGCTTTTTTTGCCGGTCATTAAAAAGGGGTCCTTTTCAAAAAAAGAGCAAGATGCAAAAATGCTCAGAGATAAAATATGATCTATGACCAAAAATGTGGAGAACTGTAGATTGTTAGGACCAAAAGTACTAACAGATACAGTAGAAAATAAGGTACTCAAGAGTACGGATGATAAACTAATTCAGAAACAGCAAGCGATACTCTAGTCGAATACTTTAACTGAAATAAATTCAATTTAAGTGAAAACAGTAGTCTTGATACGTAATAAACGATCAAAACAATAGAATCTACTCAGCGAGGAAAAATACCACTGTCCTTTTAATTAGCGCGCACAGATTCGAGCCGTCATGTAGCGCAAGTCAGCAGGAAATATGGACATTATACAGTTCAAAATGACGGACCAAACTCATTGTAATAATAAAATTGTATCCATATTTATCATACTTCCATACTATGAGTATTCTACAAAAACTAATTAGGGTTTACAGCACATACAATTATAAATAAGCAAAACGAGCTTGCCAGCCTCCAGAATGTTATGAACCCGTCCGTAAATTTATTTACACATATAAGTGATTAATGTTATATCCTAGCGAAGATTAAATCACGAGTAACTTCCGAAACATATTAATTGGTTAATATTATCTATGTATTCTTATGGTATAACTATTCAGTAATTAGATTGTGTATACTTATATTCATCTTATTATAGGCTTCATGTTGACCCATAGATTATTATTGTACGATTTGCTGTTCTTAAGTTATACTTAGTTTATTGATTACTGTCTCCCACGTTGACAGCCACTATCTGGCTTTATTGTCTATGAATGTTATTTCCTATTTCATGGTGCGTAGCGGTCTGTTTGGTTGATGTATAAACCAAGTATGTTTGAAATAAATGATTCGCATAGCGGAAGCTGTATTTGTGTTCTGGACGGGCTAGCCGAACAAGGGGACAATAAAGACGATTGGCTGCTCATACCGGTCAAACGTCATTGGTTTAGCACAGTGTGAAGATTGCATAGTCGTATTACGATTGGTGGATAAATCGCGTGAACACCAGCCGGACATAAAGTCATAACAATTAGCTTTTGACATCGAATTACCAGTTATTACAATTGAATAAGAGATAGAGATTTCATTAAATATTTTCGATGGGGAGGGGCCGCTTTTAAGAGTGACAAACTTAGATGAACCACAAATGAAGGATTAATATGTATTCCTAACTAGTTAGAAATTAATTGCTACTTTATTACACGAAAAACTAACTGTTCAATTGACACATTTTACGTAAATCAACATCATGCATCAGTGATTCTATTCTTGGTATATATCAGTAGATTGACAAACTCGGTTAGGTATCAATGTTGAGGTTAACTGCAGTCTAAAAACCTAGGACAGCTAAATTACCCATAATACAGTTTGGGTGTTTTAAGTATAAATACCAATTTAACACACACTAATAATGAAGTGACCCACTTATTACATCATACGATTTATTATTTTTAACGTGACTATTACTATAAGCGCATTCACAAATATGCTGTTATTACATGTATATGACTTACTCTGGCACAGACAGAAGCAACCTACGTATTAGGCATTATTGTTTATCATCAATGGCACAATTACGAAGTTAGGCCAGCCATAAAACGACAGGTGTAAAAGGCCAAAGTTAAAGCACTTTTGAACCATGCCATTAATTTAGCCATTGGCGAATGCCTGCGTTTGATCGTCGTTTACACTGAAAGATTAGTCGCATACGGTTGCCACGGCATGTACGTAACAGTAAAGTTCTACGTGTTTTTGAGTACTACAGATCGTCGTTAATTGTTACTTCGAAACAGAAGTTTCAGATTTTTGAATAAGTGTTTGAGAAGCTTCCATAATCAGGAAGAAATAAGTGGTGCATGGCTACGGAATAACAGATAGAGCTAGTGTCTAGTGACAAACCGAGACTTTTCCCATTGATTACTAGAAATCATACCACTAAATAGAGTTCTGTTAACAGACACAGATCAGTGGGATAACTGTGACGAAAAAAAGTTTTTGCTAAATGACTCAAAATTGCTCACGGTGGAGTACATCTTGATTTACAACTCTCCAACTTCAATCGCTCTTTTTAAACCATATTTTACTAAGGTTTTATGAATAATGGTACTATTGTTTACACTAAGCTCATATTCACACCTTTGCGTGGTGCGAATTTGGACCAATATACATTTATGCCAGGCACTGAGTTGCTAACGACGGTCTGATGCAATACGTTTGAAGATGATCGTTTTCATTCTTCAGCACTTTTTATCCGCCCATCGTCATTAACGAAATTGAATATAACTGAATTGAAGTCGGTGGAAAAGCTATATGCTCCAAACACAATACATTTAATGAAAACGATCCATTTACAATCAAATGAAATTTATGGAATTGCTCAAGAAGTAAACAAATTGTACAACCGTATAGAAAGGACGTGCAAGCATAAAAATGATATCCAAGAAACGAATAATAACACAGGGATATATCAGAATACAAAAAAGAAATACATGTGGCATTATAATTCCACTTTTAAATTGTCGTCGTCTTGTTCTTCAATAGGCTGAAATGTAAATAAAAGGTAATCGATTAAAATGAGAGAAAAACTTAGCTATACATGCTGTCAATCTCTACCAATAATGAGTTAAACACTCACTACTTAAGACTCACTTATTCTCAGAGTGTTTATTACTGACTCTTCTTACTCAACTACAAATCATGAAATTGCACCAGTTAGAAAAAAACATGACTAAACCTCGTTATTGATTCATTTTATTGTATCTTTGATACTATTCGGTATGGGTGTGACTATTGTTCTCTGCAATCGAAGAGTATTTTGAATTTTTTACTAATTTTATTAAACTAATATTTTTGCAAACAGATAATGATTGTTGGGTATACATATAGTACCCTATTTAGACTATATCTCCTGCTAAAACTATGTACGACAGTATGGGGACTTATTCAAGAAATTCATCCACAAGTGATTGCTTCTTATACATTAAATGCTCTTAAAAAAGAAACCAGATTTGAGAAGAAAGAATTTTCAGATTTTAGTTTCCTTTAGAGTATTTGGAAATGTGTGGATGAATTTACCAGTAAAGTCAGTTACCTACAACATAAGATCAGACACATATCTGCATAGTCCCAAGTTGCTACAACTCATAACAGGAACATGATGATAATCGAATCCATAGAAGTAGTTAATTCAATGGTGGTAATATGCAAAAGATAGATTTCATATAAGGGTATTAGTATGCGGGCGAGGATGATAATGATTCGTTGTTTGCTTAGTCAGACTTGTAGATAGTCTGACAGGTACTAGATGGGTTATGTATTCAATTACCATTATCATAATTGTCGGTTTTGGGTGCTGAAATATATTTACGTTCTAGCCAGGCCAATCACGTGTTCTTGATCTGAGTTGTGTTACAGCCCTGTTAAATAGACACTGGGAGAGAATCTCATTCACATATTCATCTAAGGTAAATTAACGTCCCATTCGTGTGACGATGAAAATCGAACGTTATAAAAGATATAGTACAGGAAGAAAGGAGTAGTTCGTAGAAAGAAAGGTATAAAGTAATTTTAATTTCAGTGTTTAAGTGAAGACAAAGAGTGTATGCACCTACGCCATTGTGATCGATTCTCAGCCATGTCACCAAGAGTCTCCAACCATTGGTTACGATAGTCACGCGGACCATAATCAAGTGGTCTGCATCTACCGACATGGCTCAGACTAGAAGTTAGTGACTTCAAGAACTGGTACCACGTTTTGGTTTGGCCTCCCCTAACTTTCTTCCAACCATCCCCAACACCGGTCAGCATGGCGCGTCGTGGTATTCGGTGTTCAGGCATACGTAACACGTGTCCCAACTATATCAGTCGATGAAGATTCACAACCTCATAAACTGATTTACCACCATTCCCTAATACTCTGCGTCTAACCTCATTATTACTTACCCACTGATCCCAGCAGATACGAGCAATATTTCTGAGACCTCTGTAATCAAATACTAGTAACTTACGCGTATCCTTTACCCTTGATGGCCACGTTTCACAGCCGTGAAGTAGAAAAGAACGAACTGCCGCGCAGTATACTCGTTCTTTTATTGATAGACGGATATCTCGCCTTCGTCATAGGTGACGTACGTTGGCAAAAGCCAAGCGAGCTTTTCGAATCCGTGCTGAGATTTCGTCAGACACCAACCCATTAGGGCTGATCAGACTTCCAAGATAAGTGAAGTTGTCGACGCGTTCGACTACTTCACTCCCTATCCTTAGTTCAGGTGTTGACGCAGACCAATCCTGAAGCAACAACTTGCCATTAGAGGGGAAGAAGCGCATTCAAAACATTCTGGCATTGTTGCTTAGTGCTATCAAAAGACTGGATTTTATCAACGTCTTTGCCAAACAGGACTGTGTCGTCTGTGTATTTCAAGTCGATAAGTGGACCTCCTGGAAGGAGATCATTGCCCGAAAATTCAGTTGATGAGAATGTTATTTCCATCAGTAGGTCTATGATGAAGTTAAACAAAAATGGAAAAAGTGGACAGCCTTGGCAGACACCACTTGATGTTGCAAAAACAGGTGACAGTTCGCCATAAGCTCTGACTCGACTAGTAGTGTTCGAGTAAAGAGCCTTCACAAGGTTTATGTACCTCTGAGGTACACCTTTCAATGACAGACACTGCCACAGAAGCTTTTGGTCTACAGTCATATGCTGCTGCTTTTCAGTCAACAAAAACTGTCATTGTTGGACGCCGATAAGCATGCTTGTGTTCTGAAACCTGACGAATGGTGATTATGTGGTCGATGCAGTCACGACCAGGTCTGAAACCAACTTGATTCTCTCGTGCTTGCAGTTCATGAGTTTTTTGGGCGTCCGATAATTATTGAGGCTAGTATTTTAGTTGCCATATTAGTTAAACTAATCTCTCTATAGTTGTCACAGGATGATTTTGATCTCTTCTTCCCTATATAGATACAATAAATAAATATAAAAAGCAGATAATATGACACGAATTGAACGACTGATTACGGCTAGGCGCATAATTAGACTCACCTGAGCATCTTTTCCATCCCAGGGTTCAACAGTTTTTATTTCAGGTAACGAATTCACATCATATAGAGGAAGTGTTGCGCCGCCAACTGAAAGTTGTCTTAGGAAATCATGGACTCCAGCTGAGCTGTATGCTCCTCGTAATGTAGTCCTTTTCTTTTTACGCCCATGTACAGCAACCATAGCCTAAAAGAGAATAGAGGTTGTTTAAGTTAATTTATACAACTTTGCAAGCATATATATTCGATTTTAAAATTAAAAGATGAGTTTAAGTGATCAGCGAGGAACGTTTGTAGGTTATTTCACACAATGTCCATAACACTTTTTATATAAACCAACCACAAAACCACGTCTTTGATGACTACCGATGTGATGTGGGGTAGTGAAAGTAAATGTGATTGGCCATTGTGTGGATAAACAGCTTACTGACAACTACTTTCCTCTTATTGATCTGTACTATGAACTCACTAAGAGTGATGCATTATCAACTAATGTACATGTTTTTTTAACTTTCAAAAATAAAGTATATCAGTATAAGTTAAGTTTTATAAACTGATGCCACACAACACTTTTTCGAAAGTAAGTAATCGTAAGCGCTTATTTTGTTAAGTTACAAAAATTTGAACTACAAAACAGAGTGGATTTATAACATTTAGTTTAACATGCCCTAAAGTTATGAACATATAATTACGTATCTACCCATGCTACAATCAAAGGTTACAATAAGGGTTTAGTAATTCTATGGTGCTTTTGAAACGATGAATATGATACCAGTAAGAAAATAAATATAAACTGACAAAATTCATTTGAAAAACCAAACGGAGACATACACAACACATACAGCAAAGTCTAGTGCAGTAAATGACAATGATAGTATTGGATCATAAAAGTGAGGAAAACAAATTTTTACGAAAAAATCTTTTGATCAATTGTTTAGAAATGAAGGGATGAAAAGCCAACAATCGATTATATAATATGCTTAAATTGAAATGATGAAATTTCGACAGTCATACACACTAACGAATAGAATACTGAAGGACTATTTGTAGGGTAACACATCTTATTAGCAGATATTAGAAGTATACAATTAAGCGTATGATGAAACTAGCAGTATAAATGATGATAACTTTCAACTTACAGGATATCCTGAACCTCCAATATCGAGTGCATTTTCTAGATTAGAATGTTTGAGTGCTTCAGTCCAAATCCATCTACATAAAAAAGAAATATTTAGTTAAATTATATTATTAAGTTTATTATGTGATTAATGAGTTTTATAGGAGTAAAAAAATATTATCTTGTGGTATGTTAAATAGCCATTGTTACGACTATCCGGATGAAATTATGACTAAAGGAGGAGGAATAATATGAATTGAAGAGGGAGATTGATTATGAATAGCAAATAGTAAGTGCTATTAGAGATATGAGGGCAGTTATCACTTCCCGGTTTTCCGCACCGTGGAAGGGTTCTTCTGGGGGTAACCTGAGGAGGAAATTGGGTTAGGGGTGGTCTTAGTGACCTGAGAGCGTGACCGCAAGCCCCAAGGAACAACTGCATGAAGCCGGTTACACATGACCATTTTGTGGGTAATTTTCGTGTTAACTCCGTACTTGTTGAGACCTTACCACCGGAGACGGATATCCATGGGATAAGGCAAGGTGTACAGTTTTTAGGGTCGCAGTCAGTCAGTCAGTAACAACGTAGAACTTCGTACGTACGTACATCAGTTCGAGTTGCCACACCACATTAGCACAGAGATGCAGTGGTCGATTCAAATCCCGTAGTGGTAGAGGTAGCAAGAGTATAAGCAGTAATCGGGAAGATTAGGGTCGACCTTTCCTAATCCCACCCTTCCTTTGTGGGAAGGCAGCTTCGCTGTTATGCTGGTTGTCTGGAGGAAACACCTTACTGCCCTCACACATCTGCACAATCAGCAGTACGACTTTGCCCTCGGACCTTGGGTTTGTTGCTTTTAGTAGTACCGCTCTTCACCTGATCTACTCGGCATGGTAGGTTCTTGAAGAACGATTTTTCCGACCAGTATAGTTTGATTGGTTCATTACGATGAGCAAGCCCGACCATCACGTCAAGGTAACAACAACGGCCGGCTCACGACTAAAACAAATATCTGGAGAGTTTTAGTATAGCTATCAATTTCGTTAAAGTTCTATGATTACCAGTTAAAGAAGTAGAATGTTCCAGACTCAGGAGATAAGTCTTTTTACTGATCATTTGAATTGGCTTCCTAAGCTCTTTTAATAACCCCAATCTAAAACAACACGGAGACTTGAAAACAAGAGAAAAGATACAAAGTGTGAAAAGAAAGCTGTACTCTAAGGTTGGTTTACGTAAAGAAAATCGAGGGTTTTATAGTATTTCAGATGGCCTTGATCTTCAGGAAGTTTCTGGAACTATACTAGACGTAGTAGCAGGATAGGTAATCATTTAATCAAAAATGTGACAAGTGACTCTTCCCTTTCTGGATATTTCTGAGAAACTTACGTTCAACGCTGATTGGATAAAATATATCCCAACGTTTTCTGGGCTCCTCTGGACTTTTTCGAGTAATACTTTGGATCTCCTTTACATCTAGATTGATGTTATTTCTCAGTTGCAGATTTAAACACAAACATTCTACAGGGTTTCCATATGCTTCAAGTGGAATAATTTGGGATGGAAGTTATGTTGAATTGATATCATGAACGGGTCAATGTTAGACCATCATTGAAAACCTGAGAGCACTGGACGGCGTTTCGTCCTAGAAAGGGACACCTCATAAACGCGCCTGAATAGATTATGCGATTAACAACAATGTTGATGTATGAAAACAAACAAAATTAGATAACTTGTAGAAATATCTAGATGGCAGGAACAGGTAGCCCAGATGTTCAAGCAGGCCACCATGACTAGTAATAATAGTATCTGTTAAATAAATTACTGTGGATGTGACTAACCGCAACAGAATGACTTTTAATGCTCATAAAAATTGATAAAATATATGTCTAAACACTCACCCCCATTTCTGCTTTTTAAATTTATCAGCCTCTGATTTTAGTAAATCCAGGTACTTTTTACGACATTCTGATTGACAATCAAATAACATAGGAAAAACACTGATGATGCAAAGTGGACGATCTTCACAAGCTTCTTTTAAAATACTTGCTGAAGTCAATTCAACAATCTCTGGTGCTGGAGCAGAAGCATCGGCTTTATCCATAGCCCACGCAACGATCGCATCTGCACTTCGAGCACCATCATAATCAATAGGGTCATCTGTTTTCGGTCCAGCAGGGAAAAATTTGATGGTAGGATAACCTCGAATCTAAACCAGAAAAAAAAACGCCCATATAACGTTATATGATGTATGTTAGTGACCACATCTATTTATGTGTTAAATACATCAAATTATATGTCCATATTCAACAAAACCATAATCAATGAAACAACTAAATATGAAGTTGCGAAAATCGGCTTCGCTAAAATTACTGGAATAGTTTTATTTAAACAATGAAATTTGCTAATTTTATGTGATTTAATTAAGATGAATTTTTTGATCAACATTCACAGAACAATTTAAGAGAGCCTTCAGATTTAATAATGTGTATAGTCTAAATGACAGCCTACTTTCCAGATCATCATTGATCCCTCCGTTGTTTATAAGTCACTAAATCAAAATGCAATTTCTTTATCTTCATTATATAAAAATTGGAAGTTAGACTGTTGTAAAGTTTGGCAAATTCACCGAATCATTACCTTATTGTGGTGCTACTTATATTGATAGAAGTAATATATAATGCAAGTCAGGAGTGTAATTTTTGGCAGCAGAAGATGGGGAAGATCAAGAAAGGAAGAGTGGGAATAGAAAGCAATTAGTATGGAAATGCAATGACAATGAAGTTCGAGGCAATTATTGAACATTTTGCAAATTAAGTATTATAGTATGGTTTTGCTATTTTACCAATTAACTCAGTAATTGTGTGCTAAATATAATTCGATTGTTCCCATCCGTATTCAGTTCACTACAGTATAAGATTTTTAGTTGTCATAATCCACTTCTCAGTGGAATTTCCAGAAAACTAATTTGAAGGTTGCTATTCAGTACTATCCAGTATTTCAAGAACTTCATTTAGTAAAGAGAAGACGATCATACAGAGTTACGTATTCATGTTGGGTACATACAAAAAAGCATGTATATATCATTCTTCTGTGTAGAGAAGTAAACATGACTAGATTAGGAAAATATTGGTCAGCTATTACGGGAGAACAACAACAATAGACAAAAGGCGCTTAAAATCGCAACCAAAGTTTCATAGATTGATCAACTACTTTTAACTTACAAAACTCTCTGTATATGAAAAAGATCTTTTAACAAAATGCGTATGACCATCATCCCTTTTACTAAAACTAGGGGGTTTAGTCAGTGAGAGTGAAGAGGAGTACCTATAACTAGTCTTCACAGAAGCGTGGCTTGAATCTCAGTATACGAACTTCCACGTGGTTACTGAGCGGCATTAAACTAAACTAAAATTAACCATACCCAATAAGAATTAAGGGAATATTTTTTCCTGAAGTATCGTAAAATTTGTACTATACACCGAAATAAGTTCGTTGAACAGCTATGGACGCAAAAATAACTTTGAAATGAACTTTACGAAGCCTTTCCTTAAATAAGCAAAAATCCAATCGACTGATACAGAAAAGTATGGTAACTTTAAAAAAAACTCAGAATGCCTCAAAAGCAAGTGGGAAACAAATTTTGTTTCCTTATAAAGAATTAATTTACCCCATATTTCTGAGCCATTCGACTATGAACCGTGGCATCCAAAGCGGCTAATTTGACAGTTCCTTTCAATTCACGAGCTGCTTTGTCCCAATGAGGTTTCAAATTTTTACCTATACAGAAAAAATATAACATTACATTGAGCTGCAGTGAACTGATGACTGACGAGCAATCATGAGTGGTTTCGTATACGAATTATAAGATTTAGAATTTGAAAATAACAATTTTGTGATCATTATTATTTGTTAAAAGAGTAAATCGGTTCCTGATTAAAATGAGCATACCACACTCCATAAACACAGTGAGACGAAATTGTTAGTAGTAGTACAGGTAATATGGTCTCAATTGTCTCCTAGGAACCAATAGTGAGATTTAAATTCGACTAGTGATAATAGCTTATGTGCTTAGGGCTTGAAAGGGTGATATATTCCATTGATGAATGACTTAATAACAAACATTTATTTTATCGCAGATTAGTTATCACATAAACTTATATTGTACTTAAACACAATCTTAAATAAAATGAACAATCTAGGCTTTCAAAATTTAGATTTACACAGATTAAATTTCTCGCATATCGATTGAAATTAGTGCAACTAATATGACAATTATATGTTCATCAAGTGCTCAACTTTGAAATACACGTTTTGTGAGGCTTAATGAAAATATTTAAATGTCCAGAGTTGAGTGCTTCAACCACTAAGCCACTGGAATATCGACTGCCTAACTAGACTTTCTGGAAATCACCTTATACTTAGAGGATGACTATGCAATTTAGTCCTATATATCACCTTACTTTTGCGGATATACTCTAGCTTTGTACACTGAAATAGGTAAATAGTGATGAATTAAAGACATGATAGCAAAACTAAGATACTTTACTTACAATGACCACACCAAGGAGCGAAAAATTCTACCAACCACGGCTCTTGACTGTTGAGAACCATTTCATCAAAATTGCTGTCCGTAAGCTCTATTACATCGTCTTTGTCAGAGTCATCCTGACAGAAAAAAATGTCAGCAGTAATGTATACAAATTAAACATAAGAAACAGACGATAATTGTCTTACAGTCAGTCTCTGGAATAATAAGTGAGTCTACAGGAAGTACAATTACCGACTCTATGACGTCTTACGGGTCAAATTCTATTGATATCGAGAATCGATGACATCATAAACAAGCACTAAGGCAGCATATATCACTTATGCTTTCAATGAGTTTTAAATGGATAACTGGTTACTACTGAGATAAGTAGGTAGAAAACTGAAAAGTACTGTACACGTTGCAAGTTACGTATACAGTCCAAACTTTGACGAATAAACTACTAAGTACCCTCAATTTTACTGAATATACACTGAAGTATTGACACATAAAAAATTCGACTGACAAAAGCAATAATTTTCCATATTGAGTTCTAAGCAATATTTATTCACAGAAAAATTAAATCTCTTATGGATTATGAAACTTCACACTCAAAGACAATGATACTAAGAAAATCGAGAAAAAATTAGGCGCTAGAAGTCACTTTGTTAAAATTAAGTGAAGTGAGATAAATCTAAGCAGATTATCTTTTGGTAGTATGAATAACCAATCAGCACACCTGCCGTCATGAATTAATGAATAGCTTATAGTTTATTTATTTGTACAATTGAAAACAAATATTGGCACAAATGGGCACCGAAACAAATATGCGCCGCTAAAACAAGTGAATAAAATTATGAACAGATAGATGAAGCAAGGTGAATATAATCAAAAGTGATTAAAGTAAAAACAAGTGAATGAACGAAACGTATCATAAAGGAAACAGTTCAGGTTAGGAAAAAACGAAAATTCCTTTAGTTAAAGAATTTTCTCATTTCTACGGGTAAAGTAAAAGAAAATTACAACAGAAATGCTACTGGTTTATATTCTGATTCAAGTCTGACAAAATCTCAAGACACTGATTCGATCTGAGTAGCCAGGTAGTATCACTAACACCTAAAATGTAGCTGAAGTTCGATTTTACGAAGTTATACCAGCCAAGTTAGTTACATTAACTACAAGTAAAAACACTACCAGCAATATGGGCATAGATGATGAAATTCTAAAAATATCAACTAAAAATTTAATTTAAAAAACACATTTTGCTAAAAACACGTCAACACTAGTAACATTGATGTACGTTTTTCAGGAGTCGAATCGCATGAAAGTAACTAGCATCGTACCGTATTTCCTCAATATATTCATAAAAAAGCTGACTATATTTGACAAAACAACCAGAAATTTAAAGAAAGACTTACAGACGATCCAGAACCAGTCCTAGATTTCACTAAAGAAGTAAGTTCGCGCAAAGCCTCTTTGTTGAGATGATCAATATCTCTACCACCTGAAAAACGAGCTAGTTTCACACTTAAACATTACCCGTATATGGTTTAGGACTGTGTTTATTATCTCCAAATATATTAATTGTTGGAAAGCCCTGAACAGAAAACCGTTGAGTTACCGTAGGGTTGTTTTCTGAATCAACCGCACCAACTTTTATAATACCCTGTTTGATAAGCAAATAATTTTCATTCCAACTAACCTTAAAATTAGTGGCGAATCGTTTCCAATCTGGAGCAGCATTTTTACTGTGTCCACACCAAGATGCATAGAACATAATAAACCATAGTTCCTTGCTTGATGTTACTTGGTCAAAGTTTTGGTCTGTGAGTTTGATAACATCATCATTGGTATTGAACAGACAAAGTGCCGGACTTAACAGCAGAAAAAGAACTATAAAAAGCAATACGATTTTTCTTTCATTAGTTTCAGATATTTAGAAATTCTAAAATGTTTACATTTTTACTATGTACTAATAGTTAATTTGTCGCTAGTTGAAAATAATTAGGTGACTAAGTAGAAATTTATAAACATGTATGGCGTCCCTAATTGTGGAAACTGAAGTAAATCTGGGTTTTAACGTTACAGAATTACAGCAGTATTTAGATCTTTACATTCAATATTGCCGCGTAGTAGTACACAACTCCTTGAAATAAATAATTTTGTGAGCATTCGAGATCGACAACGACGATATTGGTTCTGACGGACATCACTAGCTGAAGCAGCTCGGTCAAGCATCACCATTAAATCATAGCACAATTTGATGCGAAACGCTTTTTTGCACCGCACATTCAGTTAAGAAGTATTATGCTTATCTTCCTCTGCATACCATCAAATATACATTTTTCCCGACCATTATCGCATTATAACTCGCTTATCTTAACTGTCTGATTATCGTATCAAGTATAGCTTTGGCACCTTTCCTCGGTGTTTTGCAGCCAAAGCAGACTTCAATCCAGCTCACTATTTGAAACACAACGCTAAGACAACATATTACTGCAAAGTTTAGGCATTCGTTAGGAACTGGCTTAGAGTTGTCGTTAGGTATAGTGGGTCCAACGACCATCAGCTAACTAGTACTGAGACTAGATGATGGTCTCCCAAATGGTATGAGAGAAGGTAAGTACGTTTAGGGAGGTTAAACGAAAATACGGAATTAGTCCATGAGGCAAAAAACTGTTAATCTATAGTTAACGCGTTTAGGCCACGAGGTTTACAAAAAGATCGTCATCAGATACTCAGAATCATGTAAAAAAAATAAAGGATCATCAGACATTCGAAGTCACGCAAAATTCAGAGAGCCGAGAAAACTGGAAACGACTCTTTGTAATAACATATTTCCTGTGCTGAGATTATCTTTTGCTTTATGACATCCTACTCGAAATTCTGGTGAGACAATAAATTTATGGACAATCTTCGAACAACACTAAAATGACGTTAAAATATCCACCTACGTACCAGGGTTAAATAAGGGTTATATATTAGGATCTATAGTTAAGCGTTAAGGTTCAAAATTGGATTTACCTTCTTTATCAAGAACTGACATAAGCTGTGACGTCAAAATGGTATTTAGTCAAATGAGTGAATGAATTTCGCGTTAAAACACAGGATATGTTATATTAAACTAGATTGATTCGTTCATAAATTAGTCTCATTGAACTTTCCAATATCACACGTATCGAGAAAGCCCGCGAAAAATTCTAGAGTCCGACTAAAAACTAATGAATTTTTCCTGGTTTAAGATTTCTCCGAAAAATCCACACTAAATTTGGGAAAATCCTCAAAACGTTGAAACTTTAGGGTTTGTCATAATATTCCCATACAAATTTTACAGATTTGGAGTCAGAAAATTTTTAACTGGTCTGAGCTTATCACTGAGAAATTTTATTGACTTTGAGGCGAAACAAAACAATTTCTAACGATATTTAGAAACTTCAAAATGTCCCTCAGATATTATGAAATCTACTCAAGATTGTGTTGCAGGTCAAAGTTTAGAGACTATTAAGGGCTTCCCGTTGTATAATACTTAGATACTAAACCACATTTTGTACGGAACCATAAGTGGCATCAAGAGATGAAATATAAATACAACTAGCGGTTATCTCGTAAAAGCTAATTCAAGGCGTTTGTAAAATATACAATACCAAAAGAATTCCACAAACATGGACAATGTTCACGAGACTAATGACAAACAGCTTAATTCTCCGTGTTTATGAACACATAACATCAACTAGAAACGCGCAACCATCTAGTGAAACCGACCTGCCAAACGATACATTTTCGCAAATTTGGAACTGTCCGCCAAAGTGCACGTAAAGTAAATATGTAACTATCTGATTGGCTTGTACATACACGCTCTAAAGAAATAAACAAACTTCACTGAACCAATACACGATTATCATATACCTAGTTCATATGATTCATTCAGTTGTGACTGAAAAAATCTACGGCGTTAACTGACCTCTGCATTTAGTAGCAGTATGTCACTCATGTCTCCCGTCGGAGAGCTAGCATTATTTCACGCGCATAACGGATATGTTAGTAAAATATGGTGAAACAAATTTTTGAGTCCTTTAGAACGTGTAAATTTTCCTCCTGAAAGACTTCTGTAAAGCCAAACGAACCATATCAGTTGCCATAAATTTCAGGATTTGACTACTAATTGACAATATACGGTGTGTCTACAGTTCGCTTTGTCGTGCTGTGGCTCTAATTTCTGAATATTACTCACACAGATTGTGTTGCGATTTAGCTTAAGCAACTATTTAAAGGGTACTCAGACGTCTTTAGGATTCTATAAGTCATTAGGTAACTTAATTTACCTACAGAATTCTGAGAAGACTATACTTTAATGGGTAAAAATCCAGTGACTTTAGGCTAAATTTATATGTTCTGAATTTTGATCCCCAAACTTCGGATATTTTTCAGAGGATTGATTTAGAATGAGGGAAATAACGCCATATTTTCTTGCTCTAACTGAGACAGAATGAAACTGTCAAGTCGAACGTTCTACCGTCAAAATTGCAAAAGATACGTCTTTCCGTAACCGATAAAACGTTTGCATGAAGGGCATTTATGTTACACATGGGGCAAGACCTTTTCGCATCACGTTATAACACTCCTTGATCTTTTTGGATTTCAAACGAAATTGGGTTGTGAGGGAAGTGCTAATGACCGATAGTTTGAAGATTTAATCAACCTATTTCACTTCCTAAGGCAACTACTAATAGACTATGTAAGGTGTACAAATTTCGAATTCTGTGAAGAAGGAAAATGTTTCGAGCTGATTCGTCAGGATATCGAGAAATCTACTACGTGAGTACGCCATCCCAATCCAATGTGTCTTCATGGTTATTCAGATAAAAGTTCACTGAGTTGTGAAGCAGATCAAGAACATGAACACAAATTTGGCAAATGTTTTTTATGTGGCAAATTTCACTCACATAATTCGTGTGTAATTCGTGATGTCAAATGCTTTGAATGTGGTAAAACTGAACGCATTCAGGTAGTTTGTAATACTATTATTCATTTCTCTGCAGGTAATGCTAAAGTTTGTAAATCCAACCCTATTAAGTTGGATGTTTCAAATGAACCACACTCTGATCAGATTCATGATATCGTTTTACCAAATATGTATTGTTCTCATGATCCATGTATTCCTATTTAAATTATTTACAAATATGTGGAAGATATATCGGGTGTACCAAATCTTAATCAGATCTATCATGCTACTGTACCAGATATAGTTTGTCAAAATAATCCACATATTTCTTAAAAAATGAATCGACACAGAAACTCAATTTGAGAATTTATTTGATCAAATTAAAGAGTTGCACCCAGTTAGCGAAGAAAAGAAAGGCTGGTTTAAATCTAAACTAGTCGATATCGCAAACCAATACCTCGTCTCACCCACACCGCAATCTAAGCTTTTATCCAAAGAACACCTAACAGCATAACGAAATATTAAACGAAATGATGATATAATGATATTACGGTCAGATAAAGGTTCAAGTGTTGTCCTAATGAACACAATAGATCATGTCTCTAAGATGAATTCCATTTTGAGTGACCACACGAGATTCAAGTTGGAAAAAAGTAACAAAGACTTAAATGACTCCACCGAGAAAAGAATCACGAAAGTACTCAGAGACCTACTGAAAAAGAAGATGATCGACAATTCTACTTACAATAACCTACGACCTCGTGGGTCTCGTTTGCCCCACATGTATGGTCTACCGAAAATACATAAACAAGATAATCCTCTTAGACCTATTATGTCAATGGTCAATTCACCAAACCACAAAGTTGCAAGATGGCTTGCAGATAAATTAGAACCACTTCGTCAACGATTAGCCACTTATACACTAAAGGATTCATTTGTATTTGCTGATAGCATGAATATTGCTGGTAAGTTTATGGTTTCGTTTGATGTGACATCATTGTTTACAAAAATACCACTTCTTGAAACCATAGACATAATTTGTCAACATCCTGTTATCCTACCTCTACCAGCAATAGAATTCAAACGTCTGTTACTCTTGTGTAGAAAGATGTTCAGTTCCAATTCAACAATACTATATACCGACAAACCGATGGTGTAGCAATGGGAAGTCCGTTAGGCCTCGTCCTAGCAGACATTTTTATGGCTAACCCCGAAAGAACCAAGCTCAAAGGAGCGATTGATGAAATGATGTATTATTCGAGGTATGTTGATGATACATTCATCTTATGTAATAATCAACAACATGCAACAAATCTGTTAAAGTTTTTCAATGAAGCTCATCCAAATATTCATTTCACCACGGAACATGAAAAAGAAAACATGTTCCATTTCCTCGATATAGCGATAAAACGAAGAAAGGATGGCACAGTTCAACGCTCAGTTTATAAGAAAGACACATGGAATGGTGGTTATCTCAATTTCAACAGCTTTTGTCCAATCAATTATAAAAAGGCGCTTGTTAAAACACTGTTTCATAGGACAGAAAGAATATGCACTGCAGATACAATAGAAGAGGAAATTATGAATGTTAAAAAGTGTACATACAGTGAAAAATTGACAAAACAAATAGAAATAACATTGAAAACTATTTACAAAATAAGCTTGTCAGTCGTATCTCCACATGTTTAAGAAATAACGGATACCCATTGAAATTCATCGAGAAATATGGAAAACGTGAAAATAAAATACCCAAAGAAACTACAGTAAATAAAAAACCTGTTTTTATCCAACTCAAGTTCAAAGGCGATAATGTCACAGGGTCAATCAATATGAGACTAAAAACTGCACTGACAAAAACATATCCTGCAGCTAAATTGATTGTCCTGTCCAAAACGACATGTTCTTTGACACAATCAAAGGTCGACAGGTATCCCTTTCATGTTACCACCAACTGTGTATACAAATTTACATGTATCTGCCAAAGCAGTTAGATTGGTAGAACAGAAAGGAGAGCCTACGTCAGATTCAAAGAACATATTCCGAACAGTTTGAGATCAAACGGACTAAGAGCATTTAGCAGCGCTGTCGCAAGACATCTCCTTAACACAGGACACGAAGTCGATATACTGAAGTCCTTCAAGGTGATCAACAAACAATCAAATTCAAACCTTTTGAAATTCGCGGAAGCAATAGCAATCAAACGTTTAAAACCAGATCTTTGTATACAAAAAGAAACAGTAATAAATCTTTCTTTGCCCTGGTAACATTCACCCCACCCCCTTTTATTTTATTTATTTTTATTACGTCATTTCAACTCTTTCTGAATTTTATAATTACATCACTCATAACTGACCAATTTCTCTATATTAACATTAATCTATTTTCAGTTACTTCATTACATAATCGTCTAATGTGTTTTAATTCCATGATTTCTAATCACTATTTCAATTTTCTGGAACCTTCCCTCCCAAACTCTATATATTCGAAACAAAAACTTCATGACCTCATTAACTCTAACGAAATCTTTACCACATTATGTTACATATATTCATCCTTCATCGCCCTCTGTTGTATAAGTATGTCAATATCTGTAATCATGTTGAATTTCAAATATTTTAGGTTGTAAGCAGCTGATGATAACCTAACGAAATAAAATGAATTCATATTATTCTGCACCAACCTTTGTTCTTACTCTCTTTGAAAGTATGTTGAATGAAACAAATCATGATCGAAAATTTGGTGCAGTTTTGATAGACGCCGATTTTTCTCATAATTCATCATTCTCCAATGACATTTTTAATGAGTTTGTTGAAAATTCAGAAAAATCAAATCTTGATGTCATATCAGATGTTATTTGTCCTCAAAATGCATCTGTTTCTTAGTGGGAACGATTTCAATGAATCATTCAAAGTCTTCAAAGCAGCAATCGTACCTTGACAGGACGAAGGGGTGAACCATGTTAGGTGCTGATCGTCAGCTGTGACATCGAAGTTAGCCGTTTGTCACATCATTCCCATCTACGTCAAGTAGGCCCCCAATCATTCGACACAGATCATCTACGTTGGTGATCTACAGTCTCTACCAACACAACCAAAGCAAGGTGAGACACCAAAAACACATTCAAAATAATAATTGATGGCTGATGGCACTGACCACTGATGTTCTATCTTGTCTTAACTACAAACCTTCTTGATTCAGAAGTTGTAAAAACCATGGTATTTGTGCGAATTAATGATTCTTTAGTGCTCGTCTAGTTTTACTTGCTGTAAATCGCACTATCTCAAGAATTTCCTAGTTGGTACATTAATTACAATACTTCTAATCATCATAACAACACGGATATTTGGGTCCCTGTCCCATTTGTTTATACATTCTCTTAACTGAAAATTAGCAAAAATGATTTGCATTATTTTTAAGCACGCATCCTATTCTCTTCATGTAGTCCACTCAACAAATGTTCCATTTTCCTGCTACGTAGATCACATACTCGAGTTCATTCTCATTAGCAAACAACCTGTGTCTCTATCCCACTTTTCAATACTTTTAGCGCAATCAAATGCGATGCGCTGTTTACTAATGCACAGATAAACTTCATTCTTGGGGCAATAAAACTGCAGTCAACCTTATTAAAAATCGAATAACTATTACCAAGTGTATAGCCATGACATAAAAACGTATGGTAAAGAACTTTTCATGTAACAGGTAGAGACCACACGAAATTATCATTACCGTCCATTAATTCAATTCAAAAGGGTTCTCTTTTTCTTGCATTCGAAGAATTCCAATTATTAATTCCAAAATAGGCAAATCGTTCAGCAGTTCCAGCTGTTTCAATAAAAACAAGATTATTCAGTAGAGAATAAATCCCCGGG